GGGGCAGCCTCCCCAGTACCAAGTACTGGGGTAAGATCCCTTCCCTGTCCCTGCTGGCCACGCTATTGCTGACACAAGCCAGGATGCCATTGGCCTTCTTGGCCACCTGGGCACACTGCTGGCTCCTGTTCAGCCGGCTGTCAATCAGCACCCCCAGGTCCCTCTCTGACTGGCAGCTCTCCAGCCACTCCTTCCCAAGCCTGTAGCGCTGCTGGGGGTTGTTGTGGCCCAAGGGCAGCCCCCGGCATTTGGCCTTATGGAAACTCCTCCATTTGGCCTCAGCCCATGGCTCCAGCCTGTCCAGGTCTCTCTGCAGAGCCTCCCTACCCTCGAGCACATCAACACTCCCACCCAACTTGGGGTCATCTGCAAACTGACTGAGGGTGCACTCGATCCCCTCGTCCAGATCGTCAAGAAAGATGTAGAACAGGAGTGGCCCCAAAACCCAACCCTGGGGGACACCACTCGTGACGGGCCGCCAACTGGATTTAACTCCGTTCACCACAACTCTCTGGGACCGGCCATCCAGACAGTTTTTTACCCAACAAAGCGTGTGACCATCCAAGCCACGAGTGGCCAGTTTCACCAGGAGAATGCTGTGGGAAACGGTGTCAAAGGCCTTGCTAAAGTCAATCCACAGTCTTTCCCTCATCCAATAAGCAGGTCGCCCTGTCATAGGAGATCAGGTTTGTCAAGCAGGACCTGCCTTTCATAAACCCATGCTGACTGGGCCTGAGCATCTGGTTGTCCCTCATGTGTTGCATGATGGTACTCAGGATGAGCTGCTCCATCAGCTTCCCGGGCACCGAAGTCAAGCTGACAGGCCTGTGATTTCCCAGATCATCCCTCCAACCCTTCTTATATACGGGCGTCACTCTGGCCAATTTCCAATCTGTTGGGACCTCCCCAGTCTGCCAGGATTGCTGGTAAATGATGGAAAGTGGCTGGCGAGCACCCCAGCCAGCTCCTTCAGCACCCTCGGGTGTATCCCATCCAGTCCCATAGACTTCTGTGTGTCTGTGTGATGCAGCAGGTCACTGACTGTCTCCTCCTGGATTGAGGGGGGGTTGTTCTCCCAGTCCGTGTCTCCTGACTGAGGAGGCTGGATTCCCTCAATACAAATAACCTCGTTACTGAAGACTAGGGAAAAGAAGGCATTAAGTACCTCAGCCTCTTCCTTTTCACTCATTGCTTTGTCTCCTCCTGTATCTAGCAGGGGATGGAGGCTCTCCCTGGTCTTTTCCTGTTGGAAGTACTTAGAGAAACATTTCTTGTTGCCCTTGATTGCTGAAGGCAGATTAATTTCTAGCAGGGCTTTAGACCTCCTGATTTCCACCCTGCATAGCCTCACAGCCTCTCTGTAATCATTGTGAGTTTTAGCCCCTTCTTCCAAAAGCTGTAAACTCTCCTTTTCTCCCTGAGTTGCAGCCAAAGCTCCCTGTTCAGCCAGGGTGGTCTTGTCTGCCATTGGCTTCTCTTACAGCACCTGGGCACCGCCTGCTCCTGTGCCATTAAGACTTTCTTCTTAAAGAGCGCCCAGCCTTCCTGGGCCCCTACACCCTTCAGGAGAGTCTCCCAGGGGATCCTGTCAAGCAGGTGCCCAAACAAGACAAAGTCAGCCCTTTGGAAGTCCAGGATGTCAGTTCTGCTGCCCCCTCTCCTGACCTCTCTAATAATAGAGAACACTATTATTTCATGATCGCTGTGCCCTAGTTGGCCTCCAACCACCACATCGTCCACCAGTCCTTCTCTGTTCACAAAGAGAAGATCCAGCAGGGCACCTTCTCTGGTCACTTCACTCACCAGCTGCATCAGGAAGTTGTCTCCCACACATTACAGGAATCTCTGGGACTGGTCCCGCTCTGCTGTGTTCTATTTCCAGCAGATGTCTGGGAAGTTAAAGTCTTCCACAAGAACAAGCAAAAGCGATTGTGACATTTCTCCTAAGTGTCTGTAGAATATTTCATCCACCTCTCTGTCCTGGGTAAGTGGCCTGCAGTAGACTCCTACTACAACATCTGCCCTGTGGCCTTCCCCCTAATTCTAACGCAAAGACACTCCACCCTGTCTTCACTGTGCTCAAAGTAATCATAACAGTCCCTAACATACAGCACCACCCCACCACCTCTCCTTCCTTGTCTGTCCCTCCTAAAGAGCTTGTAGCCATCAACCGGCGCACTCCAGTCATGGGAGACATCCCACCATGTTTCTGTAATAGCCACAACATCATAATTTTCCTGTGTCATCATGGCTTCAAGTTCCTCCTGGTTGTTACCCATGTGTGCATTGGTACAGAGACACTTCAGATGGGCTGATGTCCCAAGCACATTTTTGCATTTAGAGGTCCTAAGTCCAGCTCAAGCTTTCAAAGGTGTTACCATGGTTACTGATCCATCAGCATCCCTTGCATCTTCGTTGTGCTGCATGTCTCAATCCCTTGCTTCTTCTGATGGAAGGGTGAGAGTCATTGCTGGCACAACAGTCCACAAACTCTGTTAATCTTCCCTTGAGCTCATGTCTAGGAGTTCCAGTTTTGTCCCCTTCCCTCTTCAAGTTTAGTTTAAAGCTCCCTCAATGAGCCCAGTTAACTCCTGCCCCAAGACCCTTTTTCCCCTGTGAGACAGGTGCATCCCATCTGATGATAAATGGTCTGGTGTCCTGTATACCAACCCATGACTGAAAAAATCTGAAGCCCTGAGAGTAACACCAGTCTTGGATCCACAAGTTCATCCACTGAGTCCTCCTGTACTCTTCATCCATCACTGCAGCTGAAGGGATGAAGGAGAACACAATTTGTGCCCCAGATACCCTTAATCAGTTTCCCCAAGGCCCTGAAATCTCTCTTCATTGATTTTGGACTACTCCTGTTAATATCACTGCTACCTACCTAAAAAAGTAAGAGGGTAGTAGCCCTTGGGTCTCACTAGAGTGGGAAGTTTTACCATGAGGTCCTTGACCCTGGCTCCAGGGATGCACAGATTTCCCTGTGAAGCGGGTCTGGTCTGCATATTGGGCCTTCGACACTCCTTAGAGTGGAGTCACCCACTACAGTGACTCTTCTGGGGTTCTTTTGAGAACTGGTTTTAATACCTGGTCTAGAGCGACCTGGCCTTAGTGGACCTTGGTCTTCCTCCTTGTTTGACTCATTTTCTCCATCCTTCTCTGTTTCATGCAAAAGTTCCAGGGCCCCGTATCTGTTGTGAAGAGACACCATGGAGGGTGAGGGAGGTTAGGAGTGGATTTCCCTTCCTCTGTGAGCAGAGGCCTGTTTCCAGTCTCCCCCATCTCTTAGGTCCCCTCCTGCCTGGTGGCAAGAGGGTGAGGGATCGCCTGCCTCTTCTGGAGCCTCCATTTGCTCCTGTTGATTCGGAGGTGCTAAGGTGCTACTTCACCAATCAATTTCCCTTTCCCACTCCCTAGTACTTCTTAATCTTCCAACCTCTTCTCTGAGTTTCACCACCAGGCTGAGCAGGTCACCCAGCTGATAGCAGTGCACACAGGTGCTGTCACACAGGTGCTGTCGCTGCTGCCCTCCAGCAGGACTGACAGACTCAGGCAGCTCCATCTGGGTTGCCACGTTCTTTCTGGTGGTGGTTTTGACCCAAGTGGAGACCATGGCTCAGTCTACTCATGGAGGATGATGAGATGACAACTAGCTCACATAAGCTCTAGAGCCATGAGAGGGACTATGCCCCGTCTGCACACCAGTGAGTACCTCTCCGATACCGTCCTTCAGAATTCCTTAGGAGTGGGTGGAGTGGGACCACAAAGGGGAAAAAATTGCCAACAAAGGTAAACAACATCATTTTTCTGTCTTTTTCTTCACCAGAACTTATTGTCAAGGCACATTATTTCATGACACCGCCACCAGAATAAAATATATCCTTAAAATCATCTACATTATTATCGTTATCCACTGCTAAAAAGAGACATAGCCCAGTTTACCTTATGTAAAATGTCGCTCTAACCACAGAGAAAAAAAGATAGGAAGAAAGTATTGACTGAAATCACAACTTTACAATAACCATAATAATAGAGCATTTGAAATTGTACAATAATTGTCTAGGTTAGTGATAGGATGGAATATTATCTTACACAAAGCTCATACTAGTGCTCCCATTATGGTAGTTTTTACTCTTGTCTCTACATGAGCTGCAACAGTATGCATTAAAACTGTATGCAGTGCTTTCAGAATAGGTTCCACCCATGAGAAAACAAATAGGAGCAAGAAAAGGTATAAAGTTTCCCAGAACTTCCAGAAATTAAGGGCAAAACTAGGTGGGGATCACAGGGATGCACTTGTTTTCAAGTTATAGTCCTTTCTTCAGGAAAGCAGGTATCTTAATTCAAGTAATAATGATTTATCCATAAAATAAAGCCAAAAGGTTTCATAACACGAAGACCTCCACAAACATTATTCATTCTATTACTTTCATTCACCTTGAATCCATAAAAAGCCAGTCAACTAGTCTTCCAAATAGAAAAGAGGTTTTTGAACCCCAAAGTCTCAATAAATGTTGGTAGTATAAATGATCTATTCACAGCTACACTTTCAGTTTTTAAACTCTTTACAACCAATTTACAAGGCGCATGAAAACAGAATTTGAATCCTAAAGTACCAGAAGTTATGTAACAGTGCAGCATTATTTACATTACTATTTTTGTACACTGATAGTTAACTCTTTTTTTCCTAGTCTGATCTGAAAATTATTCAGCCTTCATATCAAGACATCAAGTGTCATTTATGGAATCACTTAACACCTGGTTAAAGAAGACTTTGATTAAAAACATTATTATACAAGTGCCACTCCCTAAAAATGAAAAATACACTTTTTAATTAATTTTTGGTAAATAATATGAGCAATGAACTTTAAAACATGCCATGATCCTTATTAGTAATACAAAAGTAAGGAGAAATACATAAAAAACAAGCCAAAAATCAAATATGAAGAGCATGCACTATTTGGTTATCCATGGTAACAAATACAAAACATTCATACCTGCACCTGGAATGATTGCCAGCTTTGTTTCAACTAGGCCCATTTTAGCAGAAGAGGCTAAAGAACAGAATGTAAATGAGATCTTACTACAATCTATAGGAAAAAAATTGCAAAATATGTAAGAATGACCTAAAACATTGTTTTTATTAGATTTCTTTCATAAAGAACAATAAATCAAAAAGCATTTGTTTATGAAAATCTTTAGATCCAACTGATCTGCTTTTACAAAAAGATCCAAGTACATATATCAAGGCAAACTCTGTACCTTTTTAATTTTCACCTAGCAAGTAAGTAATCACAGTGATTAATTAACTGAGACTTATGTGCAAAATGTAAAATACTAAAAGACTTATTATTTAACATCTTAAAGTGGGGTAGAATTCTGTATCTGATTATTATGAATTCTTCAGCTGACAGCATATTCTCTAAGGGCCAAACAGCTTTATACACCCTAAGTTACTGGCAACTGTTCAGGACAAAGTTTCCATTTACTTTCCAACAAATGGCTTTACAGTTCTGACAGCTGGATAGGTCAGAGGTTCCTCTTTTCAAGTGCTGTTGTCACTTTTTTTTTTTTAATAACAGCTTAATCGCTTGTGCAATAATACTCTCACTAACAACTTTTGCTTTTTCTCTGCAACCTGTTTAGATAAAATCAATCTCCATCTGTAATGGAGACTTCAAATACAGAGGAGGAGAATACTTTAATTACCAACTAAAACATTAAAACAACTACATAACCCTCCTGGCAATACTGATAAAATGAAGGTCGTAAGAATAAAATAAAACATGTAAGAAAACCAGTCCAGCTATCAATGGTAAGTTGTTTGAAACTAAACATTAGCAAATACTTAGGTTTATTTTTTTAGAAAGTTTAAATTTGTTTTAGAAAGTTTAAATCCCTTTAAAATAACTGATTATAAACAACATCAAATACAAAATAATTTTAAAAGATTGTTGCCAAAACAAGGACTAATCAAGCCATATGCAGCACTAATAATCCTATATTCCAAAACCAGGAATCAGACCTACCTGCCACTCTTATGTCACAGGCTAACGCAAGTTCTAGGCCACCACCTAATGCAGTTCCATCTATTGCGGCAATAGTAGGTACAGGCAGATTAGCTGAAAAATAAAGTACCTGTTAACACTGGTCTCATAAAGAACAGCTCTGAAACATCATTTCATTATATTTTGTTCAAAGTACAGTCATGCTATGGAAAAAAAATTCATAAAACAAAGCAGGACTAAAAACTGATTGCTTAGCAATACTTTGGCAAAAAAATTGACCATCTACACATTCTGTGGCTGAAGAGGTTTGCAAGTCTTTTTCTCTAGCTTCTGCTCACTTTTGACAAAAATCTGGATAGTAAATGACAAAAACATACATAGCAGAGCTAGGCAAACCATAAAACAGGACTACCTAATGGCACATACACAAACAGTCCCAGTCAAAATACAGATGTCTTATCATAATCATCTGTGATGCTAGCATAGCTGGAAGTCTCTGTGTCTTTGCATTTCCAGACATGCTCAGCTTAAAGTACTGCTCTTTTGCCTCCAACAAGCCTAAGTTCCCTTCTTCCCTCTTCATCATAAACTCAAAGAAGTTTGATGAAAAATGTATTTTTTACTTGAGAAAGAAACTTGTACATTACAGCTTTAATTATATTTAACATAATATTTACCACAATCAATAATTTTAAACTCTACTCAATATTTCAGCGGTACATTTTTGCTAACATTTCAAATATAGTCAAAAGCAATTCATTAGCTGAACACTTGAGTGTACAGCTTGTTGAAATGCTAAACCAACTCTTGACAGCAATAGCTTTTTCTGCGTATGTTAAAAAATATTTTCTTTGTTTTAATGTTTCAACTACTTGAATGATCAATTCATTCAGTCTTAGCTGAAAATTGAAAAAGAAAAAAACCTGCTCCTAAAATGTAAATTAAAGTGAGGTGTTAGAAAATGTTCTTTTCTATTCTAGAAGGCTAATGTGACCAAAAATTATTAATTGAATGTATTAATTACAAGTAATACTTCTTTTCTTCAGTGAATTAAATAGTTCTAAATTGAGAAGTTGTACTACTTAGCTTACCTTTTTCCTTTCTGACAGATACAATTCAGCTGACAATTTTTTTTTTAAATCAATTAAATGTTAATGTATATCAGCATGAATAAATCTGTACACAAACAGTAGTCTGTCACTGGATAACAAAACATAATATCAAGTTAAATGAAAGGCTATTTTTAGCTGCAAATGAGTACCCTTTTATGGTTAACAACTAATAAAAATCAAATTGTCATTAGGAAAACAACAAAAAAAAATTTACCAATGCTTTTCAAAATTATAACAGATGCTTTAAATGAAAGTACCTTGGTCGTTGGTTTATATCATGATTAAAAGTGATTATCTGAATCAATTCCAACCTCAAAAAAGACTACTGATTACTGTCTGCAACATCAAGCACTTGCTGCCACTTAAAGGAGCCCAAAGTATCCATTATATTTGCCATCTACCACAGAAGGCATGGGAGACAGAGGAATAGGAGTAAAATCTGTTCCTTTTTATCTTTTCTTAGTTATATGGGAAGGCAAGAACAGAAGGTAACTCTAATTTCCATCAGGACCAGGTTGCTGACCGAAACTCATAACCACATCGCTATAACCAATTTGCTTCACAGTCTTGCAATCCAAGTTCAAGGCTGATACAGCTAGCATTTTTCTTAAAAGAATTTGCCTTTGCCATAGGTAAATGAAAAATAATTTGCCTGAACACGAAGGCATGGTCATTATTATTAACTGCAGTTTCCAGCCGTTACTTCCTGCATGCATGTTTCATTTCTCAGACACTAGCAAACAGTATCTGGAGAACTACTTATTCAACTTTAGCAATACTCCAAGGCAGACTACTTACCCTATGATAAGGAACTTCCATATTTAGCTATGGTAAAATTGAAGTAGACTATTAGACATAGAAATGAAACTTAAAGAAAGAATATTACAAAATGGCTTGGTTTCAAGAATTACAGCCAGCATTTCTATCAAGCAATATTAAAATTCATAATTTAAAAGGAAAAAAGCAGTCTGATACCGTATGTTAGAATCATCACTTCCCGTGGATATTAATTTTACAGGATCACCTGACATGGAATTTGATAATGAATGGAAGGCGAATTACAAATGCTTTACAATAGTTCTGTGCACACCTATCGTAAGAATTGAAGAAATTAATCCTTTTAACATGTTCTTGTGAAGCATTAGAAGAAGCAATACAGAAATAAATTAGCAATTGCTCTGGGTTGTAAATTGACTTTCTAAATTATTAGAACTTATTACCAAGGGTAAAGCTTCTTGGAATATTCATATTTTGTAGCACAAGAGGCACTTGTTCACATTTATCTGCATAATTTTAATACACAACTGCCTAAACTGTTTGGCTCATTAAAAAAAACAGAGATGATGTTTGACAAATTGTGCTCCGTGGACATAACTGAGTTATATGCACTCAAATTTTAAGAACAATAAATTATGTAAATAGACAGGTCAACCTCCACAATGATTCTACATGGCAAGGCTTATTTGCTATGAGTGACAGAAAAAAAAATATTTAAAGCTTTGTTATAGAATAAAACCAATGGGTTTCTTGGCATTCTACATTTTTGTCATGCTGTAAATTTCAGGCAATTGTACTACTAATCATAGTGCTAGATTCTAGATCTGATATGGGTTAATCAATGTGCAATCATGAGCTGCACAGTGAAGTCAACAAAAAGAAATATATATATATAAGGAAACAAAATAAGTAAACTAGTGTACAACACACAGACAAATGTAGACCGTATACATAGATTATTGTTGTTAATAGATAAAAAAGGACTAGGTAACAAGCAGCATTAAACTGCACTGAACTACTGTAATACATATGTATACTGTGTGTAATATGAACACTAAAGAATAAGCCAGTTCATATAATCAATTCATAAAGGATTACTTCACACATCTACCGTACTGTAAAACATGATGCTTATTCTGTAGATACACTTCCATTCTGCATGTAAAATAAGTGTCCCAAGCATAGGTCAATACTCATGTCCTAATAAAACATCAATGCTTAATGGTACTACAGAAAAGGAAGGTTCCAAGTATATAAAGAAAAAGAAGGGCCTCTGCAACACTGCCAGACATAAAACAAAAATGCTTTTCTCTATTTGAGATCACAGGACTATAAACACATTTTGGACTACCTGAAGAGGAGACAAACATGAACAAGCAGATCAAAATAATTTTTATGTATTTATTTGAGGAATAATCTGTTAGGACAGAAGGCAATACAGCCTGTATAAAAGTATGTTTATTGGCCACTGAAGACATGATACAGGTGTAGTGACCAAAAGGTAAACTGAAGAACTAAGATATTAATGACATGAAAAACACTTCAATAAGAAAACCCAAACATAACACGATACAGCTAATTAAGTCAAATAAACCCATTAAAAAAAATCAAACAGAAGTTAGAAAGTTCAATATACAGCAATATAAAGAAATCGGTTTCCTACTCTGTACTAACTGTGGATCTTCAGCATAACCATGAATACATTCCTGGTAAATATATATGTTACGTGTAGTTTTCGATTAGGCTGACTAGGTGCACTTTGTAGTCTTGGAATGCCTCCTACTTTACCGTGACTCTCCATTACTGAAAGACATTAAGACTAGAGTAAGTTAAACTCTCCCAGAATTTTGTCACCAGTACAGATGTCACATGAGGAGGACTTTGCATTTAAGCACATAAAAACACATGTAATTTGTGGGAAGTAATCACAAGGAATCACAAGGAATCACAATTGTTTTGAACAAGGTAATTGTTATTTCATCTTTCAGTGACTTTCCACAGAATGTCCACTGCTGGTGACTAACAAGGGATTTTCTTTCCACTCAGAGATGATTATATGACAAATGAAAGATCAACATACAAATGCAGGCAACAGGTCTGGAGGATTCAGCCAAGAGTCTCAGATGTGTGTCACAAAGCCCACACTGCTGATTCATATATTGCAGACACTGACATTCCCCAAATAGAAAGCAGAAGTAGCCTGGATTCTATTGACCTGAATCATTGTCCTGGTTCAGCTAGGATAGGGTTAAGTTTCCCCAGAAGAGAAGGGGGAAGGGATCACCAACAGGGTTATTCATACCATGCTGACCTCAGGTCCGGACTCAGCAGCGCGGGAACTTTTTCCTTTGTAGCTTTGGTGGCAGGGAGCACACGGCGGGTTTGTTCCGTAACCATTGCAATATTTCTCTCTATATCTTTTGTCTTGTTCACTGTTATTGCTGTTTATTGTTGTTACCACTGTCACTGTTGTTGTTCAGATTGTTTTATCACACTGTTGTATTAAATTTCTTCTTATTTTAACCCGGGGTTTGTGCCTCACTGCCAGCCTGACCAGCTGAGGGTGGGGGAGGGGCAACGGCAACGTGGTCTCCAGTCCCAGCAGGGCTTAAACCAACACAATCATATGTGACTATTTAGTCCTCTGACTAATTAATTTTCAAAGTTCTTATAATTACAGATATGTAAGATAAAAGTCTGAGACTAAACTGAATTACAGTTGTTACTTTCTTAGTAACTTTTAAAGCAGCTTTTTTCTATCCCTGCACAACCCCACTTTCTCACTATTAACAGACAATTAAATGGTCTGATCAACTACGAAAAATCTACGTTCTGCAGGTATTGAGAAATAAAGAAGAAGTATAAAGAATAAATAAATACAGTTAAAAAAGGCAACAATTTATATTTTAAAGTAGTCTTGCCTTTAAACAACATACATACATACAGCAGATTTTACATAATAGGCAATAAATACATTCTTTAGACTGTCCAGGGCTCAAGGGAAGAACTATCACTATTACTAGTCCCTTACTGGGAGTTCCTGAAATGGGTAGAGGAAGAATAATATGGTTATACAGAATTCCAGACTGTGATTTGTGTTCCTGGTCAGCCTACATCAACTTGTCCAGACTGATTAACTTAAAATACATGGCACCCAGAAAAAGAGTTACTCATTTACAATACATGAAATCCAAAGAGACTGATCTTCTAAGAGCGTCTTCCTTG